ACTGGGTCACTCCCACAGGCAGGGCTCCCTCTGACAACCTTGAGCTGAAGCCTCCTTGCTAGTCTACCACCAGCAGGAGGTTCCCTTAGGGCATAGCAGGGAGCTGGTACCTCCACTTTTCCAGAGGTCTTTATGAGGAGATGAAGAAAGGAAGGACAGATTTCCACTGACTGTCAGGTACTCTGTTTGAGTCTCAAATTTAGATCTTGAAGTTTAAGTTATTGTTCTAATTTTAAAGCTTAGAAAGGCTGTGTTGGCCAAGATTACCCAACACAAATGTAGGGAAAAAGGGACTGGAACCCAGCCACGTCATACTCCAATGGTTGAGTGTTGTTTCTCTTGCACCACACCAGTTTCCCGAGAATGTCCTGTTCTTCTCTGAGAAGAGCACACCAGCTCCCAAACCTTTTCTCCTAGGGTCTCTCATCTGTGGAAAATCACTCAAGGTGGCTGGTCAGACATCCCTGCAGGGATGTGTCAAAGACCTGGGAGAATGTCTAGAGGACAAATCCCTTGGACATGAGAACAAAGGCTGGACTGGATCCTTGGGTCCATCCACATGAGGGAGAACGACAGATGTGAGTATGTGACTTAGTGTGTGAATATGCGTTTGAGTGTGATTGACAGTGTGAATGTGTGGGAATTCCCTAGTGTTTGTGAATACGTGTGTGCAAGCATGTGTGAGTCTGAGGGACTCATGTGTACACATGGCTGTTGCTCAGCAGTATGCACAGGTGTTACTGATTCCATTGCTAAAATAGGAAATATACTACCATGTTGTTGTTGTTGTTAGTTGCCATTGAGTTGGCTCCAAATCATAGCGTCCCTATACACAACAGTATGAAATACTGCTCGGTCCTGCTCCAACCTCACAATTGTTGCTAAGCTTGAGCCCATCGCTGCTGCCACTGTGCCAATCCATTCCATTAGGGATCTTCCTCTTTTTCTCTGACCCTCCACTTTACCAAACATGATCTCCTTCTCCAGGAACCAGTACAATCAGACTGAGGTATGTAACAAGCGGAAAGTAGCCACTGCACCAAATCCCCTGCCCACTAGTGCCTCCTGTTGCCACCCCAACTGCTCAGTTCAGCTCTCCACATCATCAAGAAACTAGAGACTTATGTGTATCACAGTGGGGCCCTCTAAGACCTGTTCCAACTTCTGTTCTGAATGTTCTATGTCAGTCTACAAAGTTGGACCAGCTGCTAATTATTTTGGATCTCAAAATAATTTTTGTGTGTAATTTGTGAGAATAGGTAAACAAATTAGAATGTTGAACCATGTATAAACTTGTGTGAGTGTCTGTAAACATTGCCTTCCCCAATGAATTGGCAGGCTAGAAATTCTGGAAAGATAAAAGTCTGGGCTTTATGGTATTTGAAGTCACTAGCACAGTTAAGAATTCTTGCTATGTTGGAAAGAACAAAAGCCGGAGATTCAAAGTGTTCTGAGTTTGAATTTCAGCTTTCCTAGCTGCAAGGTATTAATACCATGAGCAAGTAAGGTGTTTCTCTGAACCTCAGTCCCCTAACTGTAATGAGGATAATAATAACTCAATAGGGCATTATGAGCATTAAGTGAGCTGATGTGTATGAAATACTTTATTCAGGAGCTCTGGTAGCGTAGTGGTTACGAATCGGGCTGTGAACCTTAAACCTTAAAGGCCAGCAGTTCGAAACTACCAGCAGCTCCGCGGGAGAAAGATGAGGGCATTCTGCTCCCGTAAAGATTTACAGCCTCGGAAACCCTGTACAGGGTCGCTATGGTTCAGAACCAACTCGATGGCACTTAACAACAACAACAACAATACAGAGAGGAGGTATTTGCAGACTCTGCAGAATGATATATCTGAGCATGGAGAACTTGTTATGCTTTTCATGAAGTCCAGTTATATATATATATTTAAGGAGCTCTGGTAGCGTAGTGGTTACGACTCGGGCTGTGAACCGCAAAGTCAGCAGTTCGAAACTACCAGCTGCTCCGCGGGAGAAAGATGAGGCTTTCTAATCCCGTAAAGATTTACACCCTCGGAAACCCTGT